CAGGTTATTGGAGGTTTTTATAGTTATTATTAGCCCTTTAGCTGACTTCGAGCTTCACAGAGAGGAGGAGAAACATCAAAGTGACAAAAGTCGAGAGGGGGAGGGAACAGAATAATGATTCACGGACGTAAAAGAGACAGACAGACACAAAGGTTGAAAAACGGTGAGGTGAGTACTGTGAAAGCGGTTGAATATGACATACTGTGGGGTCATAGTAGTTTGAAGTCAGAAGTCAACTGCTGTATGAGTATACATTGCCCAAGGTGCACCAAGGGGAGGTAAGTCTATCGCACATCCCGGAGTTAGAATATGGCCTAATGCTAACGACTACGGAGGATCGGACATGTTAAATCAAAGTGTTATGTGCCTAACAAAAGGGGTGTGTGTAAACAGACAAAGGTAAAGGCGTAACGACCAGGTGGTCACATTTCATGACCAATTTTGGAAGTACCATTTATTACTTAGAAATCAAGTCTGAAACGAAAACTACTGTTCATGAGGCTGCGTTCTTTATTTACTGTGCATTAGTTTGCTACACTAACCAGCTTTGACTTATATATAGCAGTTTTTTTATATTTTGGAATGGTTCCCAAGATTATCTAAGCTATCACAAAGTTACAGATGAAACAGACGTATTTCCTGGAATACACTTATTTGGGCGATGCTATGTATTGGACTGCGGTGCGTATGTGTGCGTGTGTGGTGCCACTGACTGAAGATTGCTTATTCATTTTATGCCGTTTCGGGTATGATAATCATGTTTTAACTTTAGTGATTGATTAGCCAAGAGGTATCTTCCCTACTGACCTCATAGAGTGATTGGCATGACGTAAGCAACGTTTCATAATGTTTAGACGTGCAAACACTACTTTTCTTCAACCATTCAGGCGTTGTGTCGCCCAAAAGTGTGGCACAAAATGTTTATTGGGGGGGTGGGGGTGGGGTGTTGGTGTGGGTCTGATTGCTCTGTTTCATTAGACAGCCGAGATGGAGTGGAGTCAGGAGATCGGAGGAGGGTTGCTTCTCCATTTTACATTTTCAGTTGACTTTCTTCTTGTGATAAATATGTTAAAAATTTATTGTAAATTTAATGAAATTAAGTGCTCAGTAAATTTTTCTCATTGCGTTTTTTCCCATTTTTTTAATAACAAATATTAATGCATGCTAACACATTTGGGGTTAATTTAAATTGAGTAAAAATTGCGTTCTTCTAAGTTCTAATTAGCGAAAAAGCCAGAACTTAAAGACCACATGGGGATTAGGCAAATTACCATGCAATTTAGCCGATTATAGCACAAATATGCAAATTTCGTTAATAATAAAATCAAAACCGTTACTAAAATGTTAAATGATAAAACGCGTCATTTTTGCCAAAATCTCCAGGCGAAAGTTATTTATCGGTAGAGCAAAATGCTGGTTTCACTTTGAATCATTTCGAAAGTATTCCATAGCGTACGAAGTAACGGATTGATCAATGATTTCGTTGGATCCTTGAAGTTTTCGGATTCCACGACCGAGGTCTCATTTCTTCAAATAAATCTACATCATGAATGTGTACGGTTTAAAGTTGAAACTTCTTACCGTGAGTTGAGGCTTTTGATAATAGTGCAAACTGATTTACCATTTTCCTTAATCTTAAAGGAAAATACCCAACAACCCATTCCAATCTCTCCTTCAACCGTCACAACAGGAGTTCCCTTTTCAAATTGTTGGCAAATTGTTCATCCAGACCATTGAAACGAAGCACTGTGTATAAAGTGAGATATTTAGATAATGACAAAGGTCCTCAAATCAAACAGAAGTGAACTGTGTGCGATTTCTGGGCACAATCACTTGGGGGGTATATCGAATACCTGGTGGGGGGCTACTAATCGTGCTGTTGGTAGTCTTAATGGTATAATCCAAGGTCGTTTAAAAATGATCTGCCAGGATTAGATTAAAGATTCGTTGAATGGAGCGAGTGAAGGCGAAATCAATGCGAGACCAATGAATCTTAATTTGAAAACACGCAGGATTTAGGAGTAACTTTATGAAGAATATCAAAACGAAGCAGTAGTTGGTGGTGGTGAAGAAGTTGGTCCTGGTGACCCAAGAAGTGCGAGACAAAAGAATGCAGGTACGTTCACTCGAGCTATTTTTAGTGCGCGCGCCCCCGCCGTTCTGTTTGATAGCGCGGTCGGATGCACGTAGGGGCATGCGAATTCGCCCAAAATGGGGTAAAAGTGGACAGAAGGGAAACACTTTCGGTGAACTCGGCAAATCGATCACATTTCTGCAATTATTAATTACAAAACTCGAATTGCAAAGTGCACACTATGAAAGGAAAAAGAGATTTCGGTTGTTAGCAAAATAAAACAACTCTCAAGGTGATTAAATCAAATGAATTTACTTTGGTAAAATCACGAGGCACGAGTGGGGTGAGCTTTCAAATTCGTTGGTCATGACTCAACATGCGTGGTTGGAATCAGGATCCGAAAAATCGATATCTCATCTAAATGAAAATTATGACTACATTTCACAATTTTTTGCTCATTGGCAGTTGGTTATTTTGTGAGTTTATTCCTTTGATATTGACAAGAATTTTATAATAATTCTTACAAAAATGGCCAGTTCGACTTTAAAAAAACACTACTTCCCCGATTGACAGTATCATTTCATTTTATTATGCATCATTGTTCAAGCGACCGCAAAAAAGGAAAAATTGGGGGGGCCACATGGAAAGCAACTTCGTTCCTCATTTCGTTCCTCGGTATTTTAGCAATTCATTTTCCTTAAATTATTTATGAACGCATAATTTTGGAGGAGTGACGCATGAACCAGCCATTTGGGCGCCTTCGTCATCAGCATTAAAGGAAGTACCACCACAAAGCCGCTAATAGACGCCATTTCTGTGAGTGCGCGCCCCACAGCAAAAGGAGGTTGGCTTCACTTTTGAATTCTTTTGTCTTCTTTACCTCAATCACATGAAAGTCGCATATTTCTTGAAAGTACTTCCACTAAATGTACTTGCCCTATTCAAGTGGGTGGGCGGAAATGATGAAATTAGTCATTTGAAAATCAACGAATTCCTCCTCTTCTGCTCCTCCCCGCCCCACCTTCTTTGCATGCCTTTTTTGCGGGCTATTTTTAGACTGCTTTCAATAAAAATAGCGCGACATAAGGTCAGTTTGCAACACATGTGAATGCAAGACTGCAAATAGACTGAAATAAAACAATAACTTGACTTTATGCAAAAAAAGAATTAAAAAGCTAATCGAGACGCGTCTTCGAGAGTGGATAAATTTACAATGCATCCAAGTTACTACTGTTAAATATGAAATAATAAAAACTTTTTTTTCTATTAGTTGTATTTAAATTCAAAATTCGATCATAATCATAAATTAGTTCATAGTTTTGCAATATTGGAATAAATCGTACGTGACATTGCATAGAATTGTGTCTCAGCACGTTGATTCATAAAATTGGAGCTGTCTCACTAGGTCGGTGGTAAGACATGTCGTTGATGTAATGTCAGCACGTTCAAAGCATGATCATTTGCTAATTATTTTGTCAGCATGATTTGATTATAAAGAATTGTGTCCTTAAACTGTACAGTTAAAGTGTCGAGACATCTTTCTTGATTGGGTCTCTTTATCTTTAATTTCTCAAGGGAACTAGAGGAGTTGGTTTCTGTTGGAGAGTCTTTTTCAAGGCCATTTCGGGGGGAGGTAGGGAGGGAGGAGGCGTTTGCACCCATGTCTACCTGCCAATTACTCGAACGCACATTTCACAACCTTCAACAAACAACTTGTTGCCAGAGAAAATTAGCCACTTTCTTCCTCATTTCAGCCTATTTTAGCCTCTTCATTTGAAGCTCTGTAAGAGGCTAAAACTCTCGATTGCACTCCTTTTGTGCCGCTATGCAAAGCTGTTGAGGCCCTTAAAGAGGAATCGTTGCCGCGTAATAATATCATGCTGACAGTCACATGCGTTTGCCAGTTTAATTATTTTTTCAATGACAAATTGTGAAAAGCTTTCGGCAATAGTCAATTTTGCCAAGCTTGCTGAGCTTTACTCCTTTCCAATTATTTACACATCGTCGTAGATAATTAGACACCTGAAAAGACGTGTTAATCTGATCTAAGACCTCTTGAAGATGCTTATCTATGCGAGGAATACAAAGGAAATAATTTTCGTCTTAGGGAGTGCCAAGTTGTTGGAGTGCTGAAAGTCCCTTATCTGATTGGATTGAAACTACAATAAGGACGTGACCGTAGGTAACCATCACCGGTATATAATGAAATTCGAAGAGGAATACCTGAAGTTTTCGCTGTTAAATTGACAGAGGGCAAGGTGACCCATAGTAATATCTTAACTTCCAGCTCATCTGTGGGTACTTGAGAGAATTATTACTGGTAGGATACCGAGGCAAACATTTTCGTTGCAGCCGTGAAAAATTTTAAAAGTTTTCAAATTTGCTGAAGAGATAATGATTATGAATAAGAGAAATGTTCTCTGATTTCTGGTTGTTGTTTTAAACTTCGGCATTCATTTCTACTCACTCCGCCAAATTTCTAAAATCGGTAAAAATTGGACAATAGTAGACAGTTTAATCTACTAATGGCATTCATTTTTTGCCTTTTTAAACCTAAAAATGGTAATACCCGCTATTTACTTCATATATCCTCCTAATTAAACTGTTCTCCATGATTTGCGACTTAACCTAATTAGAAAGTACTTTATATAGAACACATTTATCTTTCCTTCTTGCTAGATTTACTCACTTAACAAATTAGCACATTTCATCAATTGATAAGGAGCACATTTGATTTTTTTATTGTAAGTATGATTTAGACGTAAGATATGCAGCTTGGAAATTGATATAGAATCATTTCCAAGGCGGTTGGTGGACAATTGCATGGTTTCACATGAATTTGATCCACTTTCTCCTGTAATCTTGTGATGGTGTATTTCACGATGCAGGAGAGTGGCTGTCCACTTTCCATAATCATTTCTAGTTCCTGGTTCGGACTATGTTTCACAGCTCATATGCCAACTTCCAAATTAAATTAACTGTAATCTACTTGAGTTTTTGGCCTATGATATAATAATAGAGTACGTAAGACTTCCCACTTCTTCATATTTCACCTCAATTCGTTATTAATAGTAGGAAGAAATATGCCAGAAGTAAAACCACGAATTGTTGACTTGTTCCTACTGTAGGTAATAGTGCAGTTGATGCAATATCACAACAAGACCTACCTACTAAACATTCCGAATTGGGACTGGCGAAGGGGCGATGATGCGATTTGTGTTGCAGAATTGAAGTTGGGCTTCCTGGCGCAGAATTGTCTAGCTCCGGGATTCTCAACTCTCCTTGCGAATCTCTTCACCATGCGGACGTATAGAAAAGCATCGGGAACAGAGGCGAGCTCGACAGTCTTGCCGATGGGAACGAGCAGCTTCTGGCTGGACGACTATATGGAGGGTGCGGGGATGGAGATGTACACAGAGCACTTTTCGCCCGCCTTCGAGAAAATGACCTTCGCTGCCGCAGCTGAACTCTGCTTCTCTCGCTTGCGTCTCCTTCTCATAGCTGTGCAATCATCGAAGAGCTCTAGTGACACTGCCGCTGCTGTTCATTCACCTTACCCAACAACTGGAAATCTTGACACTCATGTCATCTCCATCAATCCCAATGTAAGACACTTTTGAAGGGGGAGGGGAGGTGAGGGGTTGCAGGTAATAGATCTTGAATTAAGGATGGGTCAAGTCTCTCGAAACATCTGAAACAGTTCATATGTTCGAGAAGTTCTTGAAGAACTTCAGAATTTATTGACTAGTTAATTAAACAAGTCAGTCATTGTTGGATTATACGCGACTCACTAAAATAGAGGGTGTATTGCTATTTACTTTCGGATTTTCGCTTTTATGATTTAAATTTGTTTCCTCATAAAAGGTCTTCTAAACTCCCTACCAATAGCGTTAATCGCACATTTCCTTAAAGATGGAATCTTCCAACGTGTATCCATTTAGAAAAATACATCGACATGAGATTGCATTGCAATATTGATTATTTTTTGGTGGGTTTCGATTTTTTTTCTTGAAGTTTCAAAGCTCGTTGCATAAAAAGGCCTCGTCATAATTGTTTATCAGCCAGACGCGCCTAGTGAACCTTATTGACAACAATTTATTTATTTATATCAAATGGAAGGCTTTATGATAGTTATCATTAGCCCTTTAGTTTATTTCAGGCTTCACAGAGTGAGTGGAACATCAAATCGAAAAAAAGTCGAGATGGGGGGGGGGAAACAGAAGAGTGTTTCAAAGATGTAAAAGAGACAGACACAAAGGTAGAAAAAAAGGGTGAGGTGAGCACTGCGGAAGAAGTCGACAATGACATACAGTGGGGTGATGGTAGTTTGAAGTCAGAAGTGTGACATATAGTGGGGTGAGGGTAGTTTGAAGTCAGAAGTCCACTGCCGGTTTATAGACTTTTTGCCGTATGAGTATACTTTGTAACATACAGTGGGGTCATGGTAGTTTGAAGTCAGAAGTCAAGGCATACAGTGGGGTCATGGTAGTTTGAAGTCAGTGGTCAACTATACAGTGGGGTGATGGTAGTTTGAAGTCAGAAGTCAACTCCCGGTTTATAGACTTTTTTGCCGTTCGGCAAATAGCGTTGAGAATGTGATTGAATCAAATTATGACTGAAAATGTTGCATGAAATAGTCATAACAAGTTTAGCGTAATGTCAGACGAGGGCATTTCACCAGATCATCGAAATCTGTCTGCGTTGACTTCCACAGACTGCGTTCTCTTTTCTGCCCCTGAATCGCGATAGTGGAATGGACGCTTTCTGTTAGTGCTGTCGTTGCACATGCCAACACCTGGATTTTGTCGCGGGCACGAACTTCACACCTGTAACAAAAGTACATTGGCTAGGGGTTTGGTTGGTGCTCACATAAGGCGACTTTATAAAATCACTAAACTCATACTCGAGGAAGATAGCGTCACCATCGAAATGAAAAAGAATTTGAAAGTAAAATTTTTTTCCTTTCTATCTGATATTTAAAAATTGTCAAAATTACGATTTTAGAGTGCAACGAAGATAACAGCAAACACTCTGGGATTCTTTATTGCTCAGTCAGCGGAGGACGCGAAAAGAGCCGCGTACTTTTGCATCCGCTGTCATGAGAATGTCGATATGCACCAAGTCAAACCCTGTCCATGTCGAAAGGCTTGTCAGTTAAGACGGTCTAAGTCCCTTTTCAGTCGCCTCCTGGAATCGCGTAGCGCTGTGGAGCCTGTTCTCCCTGTTGCGATTAGCTCCTCCTCAGTGAACTGCCTTCAGCAGCGTGTTGTCGTCGGTGCATCAAGCTCCCCGAGCCACTTTGATTTCGCATGGCTGGCACGTGGCGCTGGAGCGAGTTTGGGAAACCATTCAAGCTGGCACAGTGGCACCTACCACCAACTCCTCGCTTCAAACAACAGCAACACCAACAACCTCGAAGGTCACAAGAGCTCTGGTGAACAAGCTGTCAATACCCTATGTCAATTTGATGTCACTGGTATGTTTCACTGGTGTCCGGAGAAGAATATCAAAGCCTGTCTGTTGGATGAAGGCCAACCGGCTTCGTCAAATTGCTTCAACGACCATATAGTTGTCTGCATTTTTGCTGACTACCGCAGTCCCATAATTGGCTTGAGGAGTTTTATCATGCCTCTCAGGGCTAGTAATCTCCACTTACACGATCTAAAAACTGTAGTTCTTATTGGAAACCTGGATTACATCAAACGAGAGTGGAAGACGATAGCCAATTTTCCAAAGATTTGGGTTCTCCCTGGGTCCCCACTGAGTAAAGCGAATTTGCGATCAGTAAATGTTAACCTCGCCTCCATGTGTGTCATTCTCTCCTCCAAAAGTGATAATACAATAGATGATCTGACGCTTGCCGATAAAGAAGCTATTCTATGCTCCCTTAATGTAAAAGCAATGGACTTTTCAGATGTGGACACAATAAATGCCGAAGTCCCAGTGATAACGCTGCGGCACAGTGCTCCACGTCGAGATGAACAAGCGAGTATGCTGAAAAAGACCCCCCGGAATCGGATCCAAAACCTCATGATGAATAAAAGTCCGTCTGTAGGTTCGTCAACACAACAAACTGCTGATCCGGTGGTACCAGCAGTGTTCTACCGACCTCCAAGATTTGTTTCTCGTACTGGCTCAACTATTCCAATAGCAACGGAACTCGCATTTGATATGAATGTCCAGTTTCTCGAACAGGAGGAAGAGGAGGACGGTGGAGAGCTCTTTATGACTCAACCCTTTGCCTGTGGTACTGCCTTCACTATCAGTGTTTTGGATTCCCTGATGAGCACAGCGTACTTCAATGAATCAGCCCTAACACTGATCCGATCGCTTGTGACAGGTGGATCTACACCGTTATTGGAGAAGATTCTTGCTGAAGGTGCTGGAATGCGCGGCGGCACCCTTTCTTCCACGAACCAGGCCAGTCGAGATAGATGTCGATTAGCCCAGCTGACTCTCACAGGCAGCACTCTGGGAAAGTTTGCTGTTCAAGGCACACCTTTCGAGAAACTTTTCCTTGGCGCTTTGAGAGAATACGGGATTCTAATCATTGGCATCTATCGGCTGCTTCGATGGGGCGAACCTGGTAACGTGAGCTCCGTTTCCTATAGGCGTTTTGTGATTACCAATCCCCCTCCCACACTGCCCCTCCATCCATCTGATTGGATCTTCTGTCTGGTCCCCCATCAACACATCTTAGAACCCAGCCAGGTACAGAAGATATGACACTCGCGCGCACACGTTTATTCCTACTCCTCCTCCCCACTCCCCCCCCACCCCCACTCCCTCCCTCTTTGTCTTAAATTATTTTCATCAAGATTTCGGTGTTTGAGTGTAATTGTTGTAATGCATTATTGTGTTGTCAGGGTGTAAATAGAATTGTAATTCGCCAGCATTCATATCTTGTTGTGCATACCCCCCAAACACTGAGGAGGAAACAAGAGAGTAAAGGGAAAATATTTGTAGCCAAAACTCCAAGGCGTTGTTGGAAGAGGGGGGAGAGGGGGGGGAGAGAGGGGGGGGGGGGGGGGGGTGTGGGGGAGGGTGAGGAGAGAGAATCCGAGTGATGAGTGTGGAAAGAAAATCGAGTTGTAGCGAGACGGCAGCGAGGACAGTGAGGAAGTTGTGATGTGGTTCAGGCATCAAGTTAAGGACAACGAATGCAACCGAAGGGAATGATTGAATTTTGAGAAGTGGAGTAAGATTTCAAAATACAGAGGTCGCCATCAATTTGGATCACGAATTTTCTGAGTTAATTAGATTGACCATTTTCTAGATGCTCTGGAGGTTCGACAAGATCTTTACTTGCTAAAGACAAAGAAAAAAATTCATTGAATCAAAATAATATTTTGACATGATGATAGCAATTGATTTGTTATGACTTCTGCCATCTTAAGGTAACATGAAGGATTCCAGATCATGGGATCATGTCACCTTTTTCAAGCTTCGAAGGAAGATATGAATTGGCGTGGGAAGACCGATGATCTCCACCCAACAAATGGCCACTACGCACCGTGGAGACTGTGGATAAGAATCAGATTCGGTGCCCAATAGGGTGAATCATGACGTTTAAATTTTAGAACTCGAATCGATTAAGTGCTCATTAAGTGAATATTCTACAATACCATTTGGAAAATCAAATGAAGTGCATCATTTGAACCTTTCTTGCAATCTCCTCTCCTTAATCGCTCTTGAACTTCACTTAAACGTTCGCAACTTGTTTCCAAAAATGAAAAATTGCACAGTTCTCTCCTATTATTGTGGTTTATGCCAATAATGGCAGTGTCAAGTAATGCCAAAAACTTTTTCTGCTCTGTGTGAGTTATGTAGATGCAGCAAACTCCATTTCCTCTTAAATACGCAAATATGTAGGGAATGGATAAAAGAAATTAGTGGCTTGAAAAAACACCAAATGAAATCTGCTATATGAAGAACTTTTTGGATTGCACTCGAAACAAAATTAACCCCAAATACCGATAATAAAAGATAGTCCAACTGAGAATGAAGATGATTAATTAACCGCCATTTTTGTTTCGCATCTCCAAAAACTGTTAGGTCACATTAAGTATTTGCGGTTCGTAGTTGCAAGTGATGAGCGTGCACATGCAAATAAAGATACACGTCGCAGTAGTCGAATAGAGAAAGTCCAATTCTGACTTGGAAGAGTGCACAATGCACAAAAACTATTTGTCGCACACATGAAGTGCAGTATCGATTTCACACGTCACATCTGGGTAATGTCATGTTGGATTCAACCTTCACATATCAGCCATATTAGCCCACATCGAATTAGGAAGACCATAAGGGGGTTTCATCTTCTCTGGGTCGACTTGAGGTAGGTAATGGAGTTATTTTATGAAAATACATCGCTTATTTGGTTTTTGAGAAATAAAATATCCACTTCCTCATTGGTAGTTTCAGTTAGATTTATAGAAACAGGGTTCTTCTACGCGGTTATAATGCTCCACCCCCCTCCCCCTCCCCCTCCCCCTCCCC